CCATCACCATCACCATCACCATCACCATCACCATCACCATCCATCACATCACCATCACCATCACCATCACCATCACCATCAATCACCATCACCATCACCATCACCATCACCATCACCATCACCATCACCATCACCTCATCATCATCATCATCATCATCATCATCATCATCATCATCATCATCATCATCATCATCATCATCATCATCATCATCATCATCATCATCATCATCATCATCATCATCATCATCATCATCATCATCATCATCATCATCATCATCATCATCATCATCATCATCATCATCATCATCATCATCATCATCATCACCCGTTTCACCACATTCCTCACACGTTTCGTGGCCCCAAAGGGAGCCCCACCGAAGGTCCCAGTGCTACCGTCCGCATGCGTCCTGCACACCCAGGGAGCCCCACCGAAGGTCCCAGTGCTACCGTCCGCATGCGTCTCGCACATCCAGTACAGCATTTCGTGGCCCCAAAGGGAGCTCCACCGAAGCCACCAGTGGGATCGCCCGCATGCGTCCCGCACACCCAGTACAGCGTTTCGTGGCCCCATAGGGAGGCCCACCGAAGGTCCCAGTGCTCTTGTCCGCATGTGTCCCGCATGCCCAATTTGGCACTGTCGTCCACCCAGTACAGCGATTCGCGGCCCCATAGGGACCGCATGCGTCCCGGAACACCCAATTTGGCATTTGCACCACCCACTACAGCGTTTCGCGGCGCCATGGGGAGCTCCACCGAAGCCCCCAGTGGGACCGCCCGCATGCGTCCCACACGCCCAATTTGGCATTTCCATCCACCCAGTACAGCGTTTCGCGGCCCCATATGGAGCTCCACCGAAGCCCCCAGTGCGACCGCCCACATGCGTCCCACATGCCCAATTTGGCATTTGCACCCACCCAAAACAACGTTTCGTGGTCCCACAGTGAACCCCACCGAAGCCCCCATTGGGACCGCCCGCGTGCGTCCCACATACCCAATGTGACATTTTCACCTACCCAGTACAGCGTTTCGTGGCCCCGTAGGGAGCTCCACCGAAGCCCCCAGTGGGACCGTCCGCATGCGTCCCGCACACCCAATTTGGCATTTTTTCACCCACCCAGTGCACCGTTTCGTGGCCCTGTATGAAGCTCCACCGAATCCCCCAGTGGGACCACCCGCATGCGTCCCCACACCCAATTTGGCATTTGCACCCACCCACTAGGGCGTTTCGTGGCCCCATGAGGAGCTCCACCGATGGCCCCAGTGCTACTGGCCGCATGCCTTCCCACCCCACCCAGTGCAGCGTTACGTGGCCCCATATGGAGGTTCACCGTACAGGAAATTCACAATTGCGGGTCTGGGAGGGCCTGGACCGAATCTACTTCATCCGCTTTCCTATTTCATGCTTTTACCTGCTTTCGGAAGTGTTCTGCCTCGGAGTGCCCCCTGCTTCCTCCTCCGCGGCCGCCCTGTCCGTCTCCTCCCCTCCTCTGCATGCTGGGCAACTCGCTTCTCGGTGCCCCCGTTAAGCTCTCTCGCTGTGCAGCCATATTGCCTCGCCGCCGACGGGACATGTTTTTACGTACCTACCTCTCCCGACCGACTGTTTGCGTGCCAGGGCATTGTCTTTTGCGGAGCTGGGCGCCCTGGCGCGGACGGCCGAACGACCCCTGCAGCGGGACACCCTGGCAACGCGGTCGCCGCCGCAAAACCTGCCCGTTCAACGCTGGCGCCGCGCCAAAGGCTGCGCCGAACAGACTGTTCGGCGCGCGCTGCGCGGCCCGGCGGGCCCGGAGGGCCTCCCGGCCCGGGGCCTCCCTCGCTCCTCCCCCGGGGTCGAGCCGGGGCGGAGAGGAGCGCCCAAGAGCGCCCCAGCCCAACCCCAGGCAGTAGGCCCGAGGAAGCTCCAGGTCGTCGGCGAGCGGGGGGGGAAATGAAAAGGGAGAGTCCTTCTCAGAAGGCGGCGGGGCTTCTCAGAGGCTTCCGCGCCTTCTGAGAAGGTCTTCGTGTCTTCGGGGAAGTGGTAGAGGCCTTTTCAGAAGGCTGGGCTGGGGGATTGCCGAGCCTTCTGAGAAGGCCTTCTCCTTCTCATTTCCTTCATTCGTTCGCCGCCAACCCATGAGGACACAATATGCCACAGGAGGCTTCAGCATATCCCAGGAAGCCTCATGACGCCTCAGGACGCACGAGAAATCCTTATGAGGCCCCCCGCATGGGCTCTCAGGGGAAGTCTAGACGCTTCGCGTATCCCCAGTCTCTCGTCGTCTCTCTGGTTCTGGCTCTCCTTCTCAGTGGCTGCCCGCTCGCTCGCTTCGCTTGCCTTTCTTTTCCTGCTGCCTAGTCGCGGCCCGACTAGTGTTCGGACGGCTTTCGACCCGCCTCCTGAGCCTGTTGACCAAAAAGTATCCCCAGTCAGCATTTTGGCCGCGTTGAGCCGGGTTCCGCTCTGAGCCGGGCGCCGCTCGCTTCGCTGTTTTCCCCTTTGCTTCGGCGCGGCCCGCCTTAGCTTGCACGGCGTTCGACTCAACCTCGCGCGCCCGCGTACCAAAAACCGTGCACGTCAGAGGTGCATTTGGCAAAGGGGTGACACGACTGCGACCGGCGATGCGAAGCCTCCTGCGTCGTTGGCTCCATGTAGAAAGACAATTCACAAACCTTGCCATCTCCACTCGCCAAGCTTGCCCGCAAGGTGAACGACCCGGGAAAGCAACCGCAGCAGGGAGGCAGAGGATGGAGCGACATTCGGGGTCCAGGACGAAACCGGACCTGGGGGAGGAGGAGGGCAAACGACAGGTGACGACAGCCGAGAGAAGGGGGAGGGGGAGGAGGGCGACAACCCGAGCGACAGCCCGAGGGACGAGCAGGAGGGAGAGCAGGCAGTGGTAGTACTTCGGACCGCCGACGTATGAGAGCACGCCGTGACACAAGCAGATGCGGGGCGGGGAAAGCATCATGATTTGGAGCCCTCTTGTGGCAATCTTGGATGCCATCGGTCAAAAAAGTGGTGCGGCCACCCTATCACCTTTTCATTTTCTCATTCTGTCTTCTTTGGCAAACTGATGGGCCTCCAGCAAAGGCCCCGCGAATACCTTTACGCTTCTGTTTGTCGTGACACCGGAGAGGGGCAACGCAATCAGGAGGTAACCGCACAGGCCTTGGCTTGGTGTGGCCATGTGGAGGTTCTCCTAGGGCATTTTGGGGCTCCCTCGGTACCGTTATGGGATTTTACGAAGGGATTCGGTCCCTCGAGTCCCGGCCAAATATGCGCGGCTCTACCCGCAGCAGAGCTGGATGGTCGTTCGCTCGCGCTCGCGTTCGCTTGCTCTTCCCCTTCTCCTCTCCTCTCCCCTCCTCCCCTCCACGTTTAGACAACGTGGATCTACTACTCTTGTCTCTCCTCTGACACTGTCAGGAAGATCTCCGCCCCCCCCCACCGCGTCCTGTTTCTTGCGCCGACTTGCGCCGAGTTGTTCCCAACCGTTTTGTTGTGTTGGGTCCTCGTTTTGGAAAAACGGCGCCCCGCGTTCTCCTCCTCCCGCCTCCTCCTTCCCTCCTCCTCTCCCCTCCTCCTTGCGTTTCACCCACCCAGTACGGCGTTTCGTGGCCCCATAAGGAAGTCCACCCAAGGCCCCAGTGCGGTTGGCCACATGCGTCCCGGAGATCCAATTTGGCACACCCATCACCACACGTTTCGTGGCCCCATAGGGAGCTCCACCGAAGGCTTCAGTGCCACCGTCCGCATGGGTCCCGAAAACCCAATTTGGCATTTTCATCCACCCAATACAACGTTTCGTGGCCCAGTAAGAAAGACCACCGAAGGTTTCAGTGCCACCGTCCGCATGCGTCCCGAAAATTCAATTAGTCATTTCCACCCATCCAGTACAGCGTTTTGTGGTCCAATACGGAACTCCGCCGAAGGCCCCAGTGCCACCGTCCGCATGCGTCCCGCAAGTCCAATTTGGCATTTTCATTCACCCAGTACAGCGTTTCGTGGCCCAATAGGGAACTCCACCGAAGGTTTCAGTGCCACCGTCCGCATGCGTCCCGAAAACTCAATTTGGCATTTCCACCCACCCAGTGCAGCGTTTCGTGGCCCCATAAGGAGCTCCACCGAAACCCGTCCGCGTGCGTCCCGAAAACCCAGTTTGGCATTTCCACCCACCCAGTACAACGTTTCGTGGCCCCATAGGGAGCTCCACCGAAGCCCCCAGTGGAGCCGCCCGCATGCGTCCCGCAAGTCCAATTTGGCATTTCCACCCACCCAGTACAGCGTTTCGCGGCCCCATGGGGAGTTCCACCGGAACCTCCAGGGGCACGGGCCGCATGCGTCTCGAAAACCCAATTTGGCATTTTCACCCACCCAGTACTGCGTTTCACGGTCCCATGGGGAGCTTCACCGAAGCTCTCAGTGGGACCGCCCGCATGTGTCCCACACGCTCAATTTTGCATTTTCGCCCACCCAGTACAGCGTTTCGTGGCCCAATAGGGGTCTCCACCGACGGCCCCAGTGGTACCGCCCGCATGCGTTCCCCCCCACCCAGTACAGCGTTTCGTGGCCCTGTAGGGAGCTCCAACGACGAATCTATTCACAATTGCGGTGCCCACAGCTGCATATGGTTGGGTCCTTCGCCTGGATTTTTTCGATGTGTTTCTGCAATATGATGGGTCTCACTGTTTCAAAAGTGGTGTTCCCGCTGCAGCGTGGGCCGCGTTTTCGGATCGGCGCTGTGCTACCGTCGTTCAGAATGGAATTCTCGCCCCAGCGCGGGCCACTTGTCTGCATTCGAGTCCTGTTGAATCGTTGTTCCCCCTCCCCCGCCCCCTCCCCCGCCCCCTCCCCCTCCGCGCCCTCCGCGCGTCCGATCGGCAGCCGCGGATGTCGCGCGCTCCTCGCCCCAGCGCCCCCCCCGTGCGGCCGAGGCGACTACGACTACTTCGGCTTCAAGACGCTGGAGAAGTCGTACCTGCTGCGCGTGAACGGGAAGATCGTCGAGCGGCCCCAGGATGGGGTGCTGCTCCCTTTTGCAGTCCCTGCCCCTGCCCCTCTTCCCCTGCCCCCCTCTTCCCGCTCCTCCGAGGGGCGAAGGAGGAGGAGGAGGAGGGTTGTTGATGATGATGGTGGTGATGATGATGATGGTGATGATGATGAGGATGATGATGATGCTGATGACGATGCTGACTATGATGATGTTATGCTACTGCAGCCGATTATGCTGATGATGTGGATACTGATGCTACGTCTGCTGACGACGGCGCCGATGCTGATGCTGTTGTTGATGACGATGATTAAGACCATGCGGATGTTGAGTATTGTGATTATGATGGTTATGCTAATGATGATGCTGATGATGACGATGCTGCTGACAATGCTGATACTAATAATGCTAATGATGACGATGCTGCTGATAATGCTGATAATGCTGATAATGCTGATAATGATGATGCTGAGGATGATGATGAGGTTGATGATTTACGACAACAGCGATGATGATGCTGCTGCTGATGCTGATGATGATGATGATGATGATTACGACGATGATTATGATGATGCTGATGATGCTGATGACGATGATGATGACGATGCGGGTGGTGAACATGCCGATGATTCTGATGGTGATGCTAAGTCTGCTGACGACGGTGCTGATGCTGATGCTGTTGTTGATGACGATGAGTACGGCCATGAGGATGCTGAGTATTGTGATTATGATGGTTCTTGTAACGACGATGCTGATGATGACGATGCTGCCGATAATGCTGATGATGATGCTGACGGTGATGAGGTTGATGATTTACGACAGCGGCGATGGTAATGCTGATGCTGATGATGATGACGCTGATGATGATGATGCTGATGATGATGATGCCGATTGTGATGATGATGCTGCTGTTGCTGATGATGATGATGTTGATGATTACGACGATGATTATGATGATTATGATGATGAGGATGACGATGATGATGATGCTGATGATGATGATGATGATGCTGATGATGATGATGATGCTGATGCTTATGACGACGACGATGATGATGATGCTGATGACGACGATGATGACGACGATGCTGGTGATGAACACGCCGATGATGCTGATGGCGATGCTGATGTGGATGGCGAGGCTGTCGATCGTGATGATGCTACTGATGGTATGGCGATGCTGGCGATGCGGATTATTATGATGGTGCTGCTGCTGCTGATGATGATGCTGCTGACGATGATGATGATGATGATGATGATGATGATGATGATGATGATGATGATGATGATGATGATGATGATGATGATAATGATGCCGATGATGATGATGATTACGACGATGATTATGATGATGCTGATGCTGCTGCTGATGATGATGATGATGACGATGCTGATGATGCTGATGCTGATGATGGCGATGCTGCTGATGCTGATGACGATTCCGATGCTGCTGCTGCTGCTGATGATGATGATGATGCTGACGATGATGACGATGCTGATGATGATGCTGCTGATACGCGCGACGATCTGATGATGATGATGATGGCGACGACGGATGCGTCTGCTGCTGCTGCTGCTAATGATGACGATGATGATGGCGATGCTGATATTGATAGCGGTGGTGGTGGTGATGGGGATGATAATGATGATGCTGCTGCTGCGGATGCTGATGTTGATGATGCTGATGATGCTGAGGATGACGATGATGATGATGATGATGATGATGATGATGATGTTGATGATGATGATGATGATGCTGCTGCTGATTATGCTGATGATGCTGATGTTGATGCTGATGCTGAGCTGATGCTAGTGCTGAGGATGTTGATTATCGTGGTGGTGGTGGTGATGTTGATGGTGATGCTGATTCTGATGATGATGCTGACGTTGACAATGATGCAGATGATGATGAAGGATGGTGATGGTGATGATGATGATGATGATGGTGATGATGCTGATGATGATGATGATGATGATGATGATGATGATGATGATGATGTTGATCGTGATGCTGATGATGCTGATGATGCTGATGATGCTGATGATGTTGTCGATGATGGTGTTGATGATGTCGATGCTAATGGTGATATGTGTGGTTATTATGCTGATGGCGATGCTTAGGTCAATGATGCCGACGGCGCGACGACGACGCCGATGCCGATCCTGGCGATGGTACCGATACTGATGCTGATGATGAATGTGTTGATTGCGCTGGGAAGGTTGGTTGGTTCGAGTGAAGCTTACGCGTTTACATGTGTGTGCCGCTCGCAGAGGGGGGGGCGCAGCCGCGCGGCAAACCACACTGAACGCATTTGAAACAGGGGACGGGCCACTTTTCATCTGGGACCCGCGTCAGCATTCCAGATTCGAGGTGGTTGGCCAGATAGAAGGAGGGAGGGCGTGTACGTATAAGGGAATCTGTGGAGGAGGACCGTGCCAGCCATGCGGGAGGCCCTGCTTACATGATCCAGGACTCCACCTATGAATGGTGGGCAGGTTGCCGCACAAGAAACGCAAACCTATCGTCTCAGTGGCCGTGGAGGTTGCCTCCCGCATCGAAAACGCCAGTGGTGGACCACCGCTTCCCATACTTTTGGGAACGCCTATGTGGCCAAGCGGTGGGCCACCGTCTTGCCAAGCTATGACTGCATGAACTCCCAGCCGTTGTGGAAACCTTCGGCTGAACATTTTGGGGGGGGGACGAGAGAGAAGGACGAGGATGGGGAGGAGGAGGAGGAGGAAGAAGAGGAGGAGGACGAGGACGAGGAGGAGGAGGAGGCGGAGGATGAGGAGGAGGAGGACTAACAAAGGAGCTGGAGGACGAGGAAGAGGACGAGGCGGATGAGGATGAGGCGGCGGAGGAGGAGGCGGAGGAGGAGTAGGCGGAGGAGGAGGATGAGGGGGAGGAGGAAGAGGAACAGGAGTAACAATACACATACGAATGATAATCGTATTTATCGTCAGGACGATGACGAACTTAACGATTTCCAGAGGGCCAACGACATAATTCTACGTATCAGATAGACACTACGATTGATGAGCCACATGCCACCTTTACTACCGCTCCCACTACTGCTGCTACGACTACGACAAATACTAGTACTAGTGCTACTACCACTATTTCGGCTATTATTACGATTACTACTACCATTACTATTACTCTTATCATTGCTCGCATTACTCCTACTACTACCACAACTACTACTACTACTACTACTGCGGCGATTACTGTTACTACTCCTAGCACTACTATTACTACTACTACTACTGCTGCTTGCACTATTACTTACTACCTGCTATCTACTACCTGCTACCTCCTACCTGCTAGCTACTTGAACTACCTAACATGATTAGTATTACTACTGCTACGACTGTTATTACTACTGCTAGACGACGACGATTTAGCACTACTACGACTACCAGTACTATTAACATTTGTACTTTTATGGGTAACTACTCCTCCTCCTACTACTAAGTACTACTACTATTGCTACTATCAACTACTTCTACTTCCATTTCTTCTTTTCCCATTACTACTACTACGAATACTACTACTACTCCTACTACCCACTACCTCCTACCTACTTGTACTACTTCGTCTACCACTATTACTGCAACTACTACTGGTCGTACTACTACTACTGCTACTAGTGCTGCTGCTACTTCCACAAATATGCATGCTACTACTCATAGTGTTTTTCGCATTCTTACTACTGGTACTGTCAAGGCGAAGAGGGGTACGAAGTAGAACAAGCAGGAATCATATTATTAAGGGGGTCGTTGCGATAGTTTTTTTAGTGGTAGTAGTGGTAGTCGTAATAGTAGTAGTAATCGTAGTGGTAGTAGAAGAAGAAGTTGAAGCTTTAGTGGTAGTAGTAGTAGTAGTAGTAGTAGCAGTAGTAGTCGTAGTAGGAGTCGCAGTAACAGCAGTAGTAGTAGTAGTAGCCGTCGTCGTAGTAGTAGGGGTAGTAGTAGTCGTAGTACTAGGGCGTAGTAGTAATAGTAATAGTACTAGTAATAGTAGTAGTAGTAGTAGTAGTAGTAGTAGTAGTAGTAGTAGAAGTAGTAGTAGTAGTAGTCGTAGTAGTAGTAGTAGTAGTAGTAGTAGTAGTAGTAGTAGTAGTTTAGTAGTAGTAGTAGCCGTAGTAGTAGTAGTAGTAGTAGTAGTAGTAGTAGTAGTAGTAGTAGTAGTAGTGGTAGTTGTCGTAGTAGTAGCAGCACCAGTACTAGTAGTAGTAATAGTAGTAGTAGTAGTAGTAGTAGTGGTAGTAGTCGTAGTCGTAGAAGAACGGGTAGTCGTAGTATGTGTAGTAGTAGTCGTAGTCGTAGTCGTAGTCGTAGTCGTAGTAGTAGTAGTAGTAGTAGTAGTAGTAGTAGTAGCCGTATCAGTAGTATCCGTAGTCTCAGTAGTAGTAGTAATCGTCGTCGTAGTGGTAGTAGTAGTAGTAGTAGTAGTAGTAGTAGTCGTAGCAGTAGTCGTATTAGTCGTATTAGTCGTAGTAGTAGTAGTAGTAGTAGTAGTAGTAGTAGTAGTAGTAGTCGTAGTAGTAGTCGTAGTATTATTATTATTATTATTAGTAGTAGTAGTAGTAGTAGTAGTTAGTAGTAGCCGTCGTGGTCGTACTACTAATTGTAATAGTAGTTGTGGTAATAGTAGTAGTAGTAGTAGTAGCCGTAGTAGTAGTCGTCGTAAAAGTAGTAGTCATAGTAGTAGCAGTAGTAGTCGTAGTAGTAGTAGTAGTAGTAGTAGTAGTAGTAGTAGTAGTAGTAGTAGTAGTAGTAGTAGTAGTAGTAGTTCTGGTAGCATTAGTATATTCAGCAGCAGTAGTAGTAGAAATATTATTAGTAGTAGTAGTAGTAGTCGCAGCCGTGGTCGTAGTCGTAGTCGTAGTCGTGGTCGTGGTCGTAGCCGTAGTCGTAGTAGGAGTAGTAGTAGTAGCAGCAGGAGTTGTCGTATTTGTAGTATTTGTAGTTTTTGTAGTGGTAGTAGTAGTAGTAGTAGTAGTAGTAGTAGTAGTAATAATAGT